AACCAACGCCTTTTCTCTCCTTTTTCGATGTTTCTGGTAAAAACATCGGTGGCGACTCCATAGAACCCTTTAAAATTAGTTCTTAGATTAGTTCGGTTATCGGACAATCTAAGAACGCCTTTTCGAAAACCTCGCCCTTAGGTTCAGCCCGATTATCGGACAACCTAAAGGCGTTGTACCTTCACCCATAAAAATGCGAAAAATGGAAAGTCGGAACCATGGCGTCGCTCCGACCGCCCTCGTTCTGATGGTGGCGACAAAACCTAGACCTTAATAAGAGAAATCCACAAAGGAACTTTTGGGACCCACGCACCTGGGCATGTCATGACAAAAAAGATCTTAAGGGCAGGATATTTTTGGTCCATAATGGAAGCCGATTGTCACTAGTATGCTAAAAAGTGTCACAAGTGCCAAATCTACGCCGATAATATCTACGTGCCGCCCGCACCTCTCAGTACCCTGGCTACCCCATGGCCATTTTCTATGTGGGGGATGGACGTCATCGGACCCATTGAGCCTAAAGCATCCAATGGTCATCGCTTTATCTTGGTAGCCATTGACTATTTCACCAAATGGGTTGAGGCAGCATCGTATGCGCATGTGACTCGGAAAGTGGTGACCACCTTCATCAAGAAAAATATTATATGTCAGTACGGCATCCCCCATAAGCTCATTACTGATAATGGGACCAACCTCAATAATAAAATGATGGAGGAACTATGTCAAGACTTCAAAATTCAACACCACAATTCTTCTCCGTACCGACCAAAGATGAATGGTGCAGTAGAGGCAGCCAATAAGAACATTAAGAAAATCATCCAGAAGATGGTAGTAACCTACAAAGATTGGCATGAAATGCTTCCCTTCGCCTTACACGGCTACCGAACTTCAGTACAAACTTCCACAGGGGCCACTCCCTTTTTCCTCGTATATGGAATGGAGGCAGTACTACCAGTAGAGGTCGAAATACCCTCCCTGCGAGTTGTTATGGAAGAAAAATTAACAGAAGCCGAATAGGTCCAAAGTCGGTACGATCAGCTAAACCTAATAGAAGAAAAATGGATGGACGCCATATGTCGGGGGCAAGTTTATCAAAAGAAGATCAAAAAAGCCTACGACAAGAAGGTCAACCCCCGCACCTTCCGAGAAGGGGATCTAGTAATAAAGAAATTGCTTCCAGCCCAGAAAGATAAAATTGGGAAATGGACAACAAACTATGAAGGACCCTTTGTGGTCAAGAGAGCCTTCTTAGGAGGATCCCTTATCCTCACCAACATGGACGGAGAAGAACTTCGATATCCAGTCAACTCAGATGCAGTAAAGAAATACTACGCTTGAAGACATTGCTCATAACCCGTCAGGATAAAAACTTGCAAAGAGCGTCCTGGGCAAAAGATAGGGTCCACATTCCTCGCTAGGATACGTCCTAGGCAAAAATTAGAGGTTTCAAGAAAAAAAAGAGGAGAATAGAGAAATGATTACCTTAGCCGAAAACCGCAAAGGCGACTAAGGTAATACCTTCACAGAAGCAAGCAAACTTTGCATGATCTTCACTCCGAGCTCGAACATCTCAATTGAAGCGACCAGGAAAAACAGAGAAACAGAAATCACGGGCATGATTGTTATATCCTATACAACTTAGCCAACCTCGGTCAGCCCTGCTTATAAATTCCTTTGTAAATCCTCCTGTAAAAATAAACCATTCGTTTATATCAATAAAAATTGTCTTTGTTTCTCTTTACCTACTTGCAAGAATGCCTCTGTATTAACGAAACATGAGCATGCATAAAACAAGCAATACAAGAAAGCATAAGAAAGAAAAAGAAAACAAGATTAAAATAAACAACGCCTGCTAGGACAGTCTCAGGCAAAAATAGGGCAGTCTGCTAGATCAAAAACCCGCAAAGGACGGTCTAGACAAAAGTTAAGGCCTTCATAAAAAAGAAAAAGTCCGCTAAGATGTCTTAGGCAAAAATTAAGGCAAGCCCGCTAGATCGAAAACCCGCAAAGGGAGGTCTAGGAAAAAGATAGGGCCAAAACAAAAATTCATAAGAACATTCACGAGAAAAGCAACAAAGAAAGTACCAGTCACTTTCTAGATGCCCACAACTAAAATAAATTGCATCAGGAACATCCATGCACAAGTAGTTACACAAAAATGACTTTGTCAAAATCAAAACAAACAAACATATTTCAGGCAAATAAAAAAAGCATTCAGCTTTGTGCTTGCATCCGAAAGTAGGAAACACTCAGAAATATCCCGGTAAGACTTCATCGACTTTATAAAAAATATGCATTAACCAAGAGTTTCTTCAACGACTAAGCAAGAATCGAGTAACAAAGGACTACCTGACAACCAGCAAAGTCAGATGACCACAAAAAAAAATCAATCAAAATCAAAAATCCCCAGCAACCAACAAGTTGGATGAACACCAACAGAATCCCTGGCACAGACCGGACAACCACCCTCAGAAAAGACAAAGCAGAGAACACATCTCAACGCTCGACACATGAGCTAGAGCAGTAAGTCGCCACCACAGCCAAAGGATCAGCTACCGCAAGAAGGAGCATCCAGAGGCACTTCACCAGATGGGGGTGTTTACTCATCAGGCCTTACAAAAGGGGGCTTACCAGACGTGGGTTCATACTCGTCAAACACCAGATGGGGGTGTATACTCATCAGGCCTTACAAAAGGGAGCTTACCAGACGAGGGTTCATACTCGTCAAACCAGATGGGGTTCATACTCATCAGCCGAAGGGATCAGCTACCATCAGAAGGAGCATCCTGGAAGCGCACAACGTACTTTTCCCCAGAAGATCAACCGCCACAAAGATGGGACGTCTGAAGGGCAGCCGAGCAGGAGGGTCAACTCCTTTACCCTCCAGTCGATCTTCTTAGCACAATAAGCCAGCAGTCGACTAGTCGGGTAAAGGGGGGCAGCTGTAGACCCCTAATCTTGCCCGGTCTCATAATAAGACCAGAAGACCTCCTTTTCGAAGATGGATGAAGCCTAAGAAGCCATTAGGAGAGACTATTAGGCCTCATATTAGGATAGGAAGGTTTTTCTGCATTAAAATAAGGATTTTCGCCTTCAGGGATCAAAACCACCGTCTCGCTTTTCGGGACCGCCGTCTCGCCATTCCTGCAGAATGAGACCGCTGTCTCGTTTGGCGAGACGGCCGTCTTGCCACCTGTGAATGGCGAGACCCCCCTCTCGTTGGGCGAGACGGTCTTCTCGCCATTTTTACAAGGCGAGACGGTCGTCCCGAATGGCGAGACGGCGGTCTCGACCTTGTCAGACGAGACGGCCGTCTCGGCCTGACAGGCGTGAATCCCTATAAATAGCAGTGCGTCCCCCCTCATTTCACACAGTTCTTCCACTTTCCCTTCTACAACTTCTTCAAATTCTCTTCCTAGAACCCCTCCGAAGCATTTCTGGAGTTTCTGAGAGTTTCTTAGAAATTTTTATAGTGTTTCCGAGAGATTTCCGGCGTTGTAAAGAGCGAAGGGCTGTCAAAATGCACCCTAATTTTCAAGAAATTAATTAAAGAGCTTGCTTCGGAGGTTTCTTCTTTCTCTCCCTCTCTTTATTGCCTTTACTTTTATGATTAAATTGTGTAATAAATATTAGGGTTATGTAGTCGTTACTTTAACTCCGTAAATAAAAGGGTAAAAATGTCTTTTCACAAAGTTTATTTATTAAATAGTTGGCCTATCATAGGGAACCCGAAAGGGGCGTCGTAAGGGAACTAACACTTCCCTTACACGTAACTAACTCCCTTACCTAAACTCTGGTTTTAACGACCAAAGTTGGTTTTCGAAAACCAACGCCTTTTTACTCCTTTTTCGATGTTTCCGGTAAAAATATCGGTGGCGACTCCATAAGAACCCTTCAAAATTAGTTCTTGGGTTAGCCCGGTTATCGGACAATCCAAAAATACCTTTTCGAAAATCTCGCCTCTAGGTTCAGCCCGGTTATCGGACAGCCTAAAGGCGTTGTAACCACACCCATAAAAACGCGAAAATTGGAAAGTCAGAACCATTGCGTCGCTCCGACCGCCTCGTTTTGACGGTGGCGACACTTATAAAAAAAAATTAGTTACTCATCGTCTTTATTCTAGATTCAATTATATCTAATAAAAAAATGATTTGATAATCTCATCGTCTTTATTCTAGATTCAATTATATCTAATTTGACTTGTATTTTTACGTATATTATTTGGAGAGAATCATTGTAAAAGACACTTTCATATTAAAAAAATTACCTTATTATGTATTGATAATAAATACGTAATAAAAATTATCTGTGTTTGATACTTTTAGATTTTTACCTATTAATACTTTTAGATTTTGATATATTTTTAGCGTACCGTATTTATATACCACTTGATTAAAAACTTCAATCAAAATATTTCCTTAAATTTAGAATTAGAATAACCTTATTTCTTATAAAAAAAATTAGTTACTCATCGTCTTTATTCTAGATTCAATTATATCTAATAAAAAAAGTGATTTGATAATTACATCATCTTTGTTTTAGATTCAATTATATCTAATAAAAAAAATGATTTGATAATGTTCAATAATTCTTTTCTTTAATTTGACTTGTATTCTTACATATATTCTTTGGAGAGAATCATTGTAAAAGACACTTCCATATTAAAAAAATTACCTTATTATGTATTGATAATAAATACGTAATAAAAATTAATTGTATTTAATACTTTTAGATTTTTACCTATTAATACTTCGACTTACTAAGAATTACTTTTCTTATTAATTTGCATGAGTCTGATTTCTTCTGTTTGAATCAGACGATTTTTCTTCTGTTTGAATCAGTCACGCGTATTTCTTTATTGTAATCTCATTCTCATTTTATTTACCGGTTTTGTATATGATTGAATAATACCAACGAACATCCTACACATGTACTCAAAAATTTTTTATTCTTTTTCCACTCTTATTTACATGAGATAGTATATAATGTGTGTTGTTACTCTAATCCCTTTTCCTTTTCCGATTTGGAGTCAACTGTTCAGGGAGAGGGGTGGGTTTAAAAGAGGCGAAGGCAGAGTCGGAATCGACAACGTGGAGAGGGCCACCGCCGGCCAAACGACTTTGGCGGCGACGAAGAGGGAGGGAGAAACTTGGGCAGATACACGAGGAGAATGTTGTACCTTCGCATGCTGAGTTGGTAAAGCGCGGTGAGAGGCCTCTGTAGTCAGATATGATCAAATAGTTAGCGGGGACGGGATTGTCTAGGATCTTCTTGTCCCTATCTTTTACATCTGATAGAGACAATCAAACGATCAAGCGAAAAAAGTCACGTGAGTGAGTGAGTATGTGTGCGCGTGTGTTCATAAGACTGTGTTTGAGCGTGATTACTGGCGGGGATGTGGTTGAGAGCGACGGCGGTGCTGAAGAGGGCGTGTTGGATGGGCAGCGGAATGCGGTTGGTGTCGCCATAGGCAAAGAAGGAGACGGTGCCGACGTAGTTGGAGTTGACGAGAGCGGAGACTATGTTCTGCAAGATGGAGTGAGCGTCTTCGCCGATGGGAACGTGACAGCGGTGAATGTCCCACCACACAGAAATTTTGGCCTACGAGTATGTCGTGGAGGTGGTTGTCATCCACACACACCCATTAAAATTATTGAATGCAATATGATCATGCACTAATTCATTTCTTGGTCTGAACAATGTTGATCATGCACTACTAATTCACTTTTATATATATATATATATATATATATATATATATATATATATATATATATATATATATATATATTGAGTGTTGATATTTGTCCTTCGAAAATAAAAAAAAACATGAGTAATTGGATAAACCTATACATACTACTCTATGGTACGGAATAAAGTTCAAAAGTCACAAGTTATATAAAAATATTCTTTAACATCTCTTATTTTTATTAAATCTTATTATTATTATTATTATTATTATTATTATTATTATTATTATTATTATTATTATTATTATTATTAATAATAAAAAGGTATTGTATTTGAAGTTGTTTGAAAAAATGGGATGTCAAAGTGTCACCTAGGAAATATTATGATTATCTCTCACTTTTTAACGTTATTAGGCTTAGGAGTTTAAATATAAATTAAAGATATATCCTTTTAATAGTCTTTATTATTAGCTTATAAGATGATATTGAGAAAATAAATCTTTAATGTAATGAAAATACAAAATACATTAAATACTTGTCTTACAAAGATGAGGATTATTAGGAAGGTATTGTCTAAAGATTTATAATTATTTTTAATTTGTACATTAAAAAAACAAGAAAAGTATAAAACAATTTTATACGAGGTGATTGTGATTTAAGGAATACATGGATTCATTCTTGGGATGGAAAATCCTTTTAGTGTAAAAATGGTTTTGGGCCGGTTCCTATAATTTACATGTTCTATAAGCCACGTTTTTTCTTCTGTTTGAATCAAGTAACACGTATTTCTTTATTCTAATGTTCTTATTTTATTTACCGGTTTTGTAGATGATTGAAAAATATCAAGGAACATGTTTCTAGAAAATAAGAAGACAAGAACTCAATTTTTTTATTATATATATATACCTTTGCACATGACGATTATACATTTGAAATAGGTTTATATCAGAATTAACAGAATAACAACCCGTACCCAGCCCGCTTAATAGAATAACAATCGGCCCCTAACATAAATGTACTCTTTCGCCAAAGTACATTTTTCAATTTTATATTATGTTTTTTCTGTTTACATATGTTATATATTTTTTTCTCTTTTTCTTGCTTTTTGTACGTGACGATACAATAATTCTTTAAAAATAATATCTTTATTTTTCTTGCTCTACATTTCTTTTCTTCATCATGTATAGCAATATCTACGTTCTTAGTGAAAAAAATAATTCAAACTTCATGTTACCAACCTTTAAAATTATTTAAGATCGTATCAGAGCACTTTTTTTAAGTGTTTTGTTGTGTACATGTTATTCTTATCATTTTGTTCTTTCTTTGTTTTCTTTTATCTTGGTCTCTTTTCTTTTTCATCATGACAGAATTTACTTCTAGTCAAATCTCTGCATCAAGTTTCTTGTATTTGCACTCTAGTGAAAGCCCTGCTACTCCTTTGGTGTCACTAGTTTTGGATGTCAAAAACTATCACTCATGGTGCAGATTCATGATTACAACCTTAAGCACTAAAAAAAGATTCAATTCATTGATGGTACGATGGTTGAACCTGACAAGAAGGATTCATCCTATCAAGCTTGAAAGCAGTGCACAATGATATGGTGGTTTTATGCCTTGCTCATTTTGTCTTGTCCTCCATTCGACAAAGTACTTTATATGGATGGACAAAGCCGAAGCAATTTGGAGCGGTTTAAAATCTAGATATTTCCAAGGTGACCACATGAGAATTTCATATTTACAAATGTAAGCATCTTCTATGAGACAAGGAGAATTGACGGTAACAAAATTCTTTACTAAGTTAAGAAATATTTGGGATGAGATTAATAATTTTAGATCTGACCCTACATGTTCTTGTGCTGTGAAAGATTCTTGTGGTATGATTGCTTTAATTACTCAAAGAAAAAGTGGGATTCGTGTGATGCAATTTATTTGGGGTCTTAATGAACAATACAAAATCTCATGTTCTTTTGTTAGATCTCATTCCTTTCATTAGTATAATTTTTTCATATGTGACACAACAGGAGCATCAAATTAGAAGCAATCTTCATTCTAAAATTGATATAAAAATTAATGTTGCTAATGCCCAATTGAGTTGCAATTATTGTGGTAAACTTGGACATACATAACTTGTTTGCTACAAGAAAAATGGTTTTCCTTAAAATTATGAAAGCAAGAATTCAAAGAATTTTGTTAAAAGAACTTACACTCAGTGTGGATGAAATGGGCACACCATAACTATTTGTTACAAGAAACATGGTTTCTCGCCTAGACACAAATTCTACAACAACAACAGTAATTCTATTAAAGCCTCTAAAACCAACAAAGAAGCAAAGCAAGACAATGCTGGTGGAGATCAAGACATGCACTTGACTCAGCAATAATATCAAGCTCTATTGTCTTTGTTGCATTCAAATAACTAAGAAGATGTCACTGAGGACACACATGTAAATCAAATAAATACTATTACCTCTGATTTGTCTCAGCCAAGTAAACCTTTCATCCGTTCTTTCAATATAAAAGAAAATCATATATGGATCCTTGCAATATAAATAGAGAGGGGTTATAAATAATGGTCCTGAGTTTAATATGAATTTTTTTTACAATGATGACGGAATCAGACATCAAACAAGTTGTGTAGAGACGCTGGATAGAATGGAGTGGTGGAACGGAAACATCAATATCTAATGAATGTTACATGATGCATACTTGATTAACCGCATTCTTACTCCCTTTCTAAATAATTTGTCTCCTTTTGAAAAGCTATACAATGAAAAATGTAATCTTAGTCATGTTAGAGTTTTCAGATGCTTGTGTAATAGTGACACTTTTGTTAGAAATGTAGGCTAAGATCAAGAGGGGGGGTGAATTGATCTTTGAAAGATTTTCGCAATTAACAGATTATCAATTTCAAAGATTAAGAAATCTGATCAATTCTTGAATCACACACAACAAG